TAGATAGATAGATAGATAGATAGATAGATAGATAGATAGATAGATAGATAGATAGATAGATAGATAGATAGATAGATAGATAGATAGATACTTTCTTAATGACTCATGATGCCATAGTTTGACTGTCGTCACCATGGATGCAGGAACAAATATAACCCGTGTTTCGTTCAGAGGAAAAAGCGGTGAAGCATCACGTTTGCTTTCATCAGCAGCACTGTGTTTAACTTGGCAGTCTTGTTTTTAGTCACTATTTATTTAGTTCTAATTCACTCATCTTTGTGAACATTAGTATATGTGAGCAGATGGAGTATTTAAGCTTTTTAAGATTTTGGGTTCAGTTTATGCATCCCCTTTCTTTAACTTTTACTTTTCCATCCAGGGTAGCTGGTGTCTCTCTGTGCATATGATGGACAGGTCCCAAGTCTATCATCTGTCATTGATATGTGACTGTGTGTATTTTAATTTGAAGCAGTCAAAAACCTGTTTTTTATTATTTCAGTACATACTGTACCAACCTTTTGGCTGCTGTAGTATCCTTGGACTCACTTAGCAGTTTTCCTTCTATTATTGATTAATAAAAACATTTAATCATTCTTTATTTTGAGGTACACGCAGCTGCTTTTAAGTTGCGTATAGCAGCTTATTCACTCTTAATTATAAAACACAAATTATACTGTAAATGATTGCTTTTTACAACCAGTTAATCATAATTTATTTCTTTAATAGTCTCCCAACAGTTCTTTAACAAAMTAGTTTTTTAATGTACAATGATCTTATTACGTTTTTCTTAAAATAGGTTTTGCAAGTTATAAAACAATCATAACAGATTTTCTCACTCAGTGATGCTAAATAAGTAAGAGGTAAACACTTAACCACAAGTTGCTTTAATTAAGTTCAACTCTCATTTCCCCAAAGAAAATGTTTACCACAATTTGCCGATTTATTTCTCATGCAACTTTTTTCTCTGTTTTTGTTTAATCGTAGTTGTAGAAAAATAGTAGGCTAAGTGTTTTGTAGTGACTAACAAAGGGTTGAATTCTGCTAAGACTCAAGTTATATGGCATGATAATAAAATGAAAAATAAAGTGTTTCCACTTTGTACTGTGGTCATATCAGTTTAAAATCACACCAACACCCACATTTGAGCCGTGCACTCCGAGTGACTCACTCCTCATCTGGATGTTCAGCCTTCATTCTGATACAAAACAAAAACAGAGCATTACTTTGTGCTGAAATTAAAAGAGACAAAACTGCACAGATTAAAAAAACATTTGATCTTAAAACTGTAGTGGTGTATGACATCAGCGTTGATTTTTAAAAAGAGTAGAAAATCTACATTACTAATGTGCTGAATAAATGAAAAATAGAAAAACATTTGATTTGATTTGATTTGATTTGATTTGATTTGATTTGATTTGATTTGATTTATTGATTTAAC